AAGGAGACAGAGTTGCAAAATTAATCAAAAAATGGTATTTTCATCGACAAAACAAAGCTCCATCATCTATTAAACGAAGTATCAGAATTTTTTGGAGTAATAAAGTACCAAAAGGATATTTTAACAAAGAGTTTATCAGACAGAAATGCATGACACTTGGTGATGTTGTTGGTGTTTCTCTTAAAGACCAAATGTGCTTTGTTTTATTTAAGAACGATATCACAATAACCAAAATTGAAATGAAAAATGAACATGGGAATGTGTTTAATGATGAAATGAAGGAATCTAATATCGAAATTTTAAAAAACACATATCTTCATTCTTCAACCCCATTAAATGATTTTACACAGTACGAACAACAAATATTACAAAAGGCTTATATTAAATTAAAAGAAACTAACCCAAGCATAACTAATCCATCTGTTCATACAAAACAAAATACTATTATAGTTGATTAACATTAATACAACTTAATCCATCTTATTATTACCCTTTTTCTTAACTTTAATTTCTTTCTATTTTATCTGTTTCAATATTCAAACACTTCACTTTTTACTCTTTATCAATGAATATCTTATTTTATTGTCTTTCTTCTTATTAATGAAAATATTCATCTATCTCAAATTCCTTTCCTTCCTTTTTTCTTTTTTTTTTATTTCTTTTCTTGTTTTTTTTTTGATATGTATAACTTTATTATTTTTTTGTCTTTGAAAAAATCTTACTTTACTATTAAATAGAAAATAAGATTTTTTTGTCTTTGAAAAATGGAAATTAAATTTCATTCTGATTATTTCATTATAATATTTTTGTGTTTTCTTCGTATCAAATCTTGTAAAGAAAAGCAAAGAATATTAAAGCAAAGAATAGAAAAGAGAATGAAAGTCAATAGAAATAATGTACATAAAGATAAATTCTAAAAGAAATCTTGAAATTGTGAAGAAAAGTTGAAATTGAGTGGAAAATGAATATGAAATGATAAGTAAAGAGAATGATAATAATGAAAATATAAATAAGTGTTAATGAGTAATAAAACATTGGAAGTAAAATGAAATGATAATAAATAGAAAAAGAAAATAATATGAATGAGAAGTGTTTCAATCTAAATTAAAAGAAAATGGAGAAAGTGAATGAAATAATTCAAATAACAACAAAAGAAATGAAGAAGAAAGAAGAGAAGAATGAGTGAGATATGAAATGAGATTGAGATATAATTTAAACAAAAAGTCAAATAAGAAATGAAAAAGAATAAACAAAAAGTTGAGTAAAAATATCAAACTAAAAACACAAAAATATTTTATTTATAGATATTTACCAATTCTATAATTTATTATTATATTATTATTATTGTTATTATATAATTAATGTTATTGTAAAATTAATAAAATGAATGATGTTTATTTAAAATAGAATGATGTTAAAAATAATACTTGAAATGATGTGTTATTAATGTATTTAACTCTGTATTGTTATTCTTATTATTTATTGATTTTATAATATTCAAATGAAATTAAAACAGATGTATAATGAATAACTAACTCATGAATGAAGTGGTAAAAGTTTTATAATCATTCAACAAAGAATTAACAATGATAGTAAGAAATATCAATAGTAATTATGAAGTGTTAAAGAAGTGAAAGAACAAGAAAGAAACAACAAATAGAAAATGAAAAAATGAAGAATATCTAATACAATAAGTTATTCATCCAATGATGATTTAAATGTTAATACATTAATATTTACTAAATAACATCTCATAACTATTATTGAATATTCAAAATGAAATAACAATTGAAGATATGTTAATATATAATTTAATCAGTTTGTGAATTTCAATAGATAAATAATTCAAAATTATTTGTAATTTCATTAAAAAAACAAAAAGAATGATAAAACACTATTGAAAATTGATATTAAATTCAATTAACATGAATTTATATAATCGTTCAAATAATTTTTTATTTCAATTTGGATATGATATAATTGTTTATGAAGAAAATAATAAAATAAAGTCATTTTATAACCAATATTCATTTGAATATAAATGAATATCAAATACACTTTTCAGAAAAGATTAACAAAAATATTTCACACAAAAACATATAATGATATTATTAATTGAAGTGAATATATTCAATATTAATTAATTGAAATAGAATATAAAATAACGAAAGAATATTAACATTCATATGAAATAATTTGATTAGTTTATTTTATTTCATATTTTCTCAAACAGTCTCATTAAATTTCTTTAAGATATTAGAGAATTTGACATTAAACAATCATTTTTATTGTTTTATTATTATACATAAACAATTATTTCTTCTTTTGTTTTAATTAGTATTTATCCATTTCATCCATTTATTTGTTTCCATTTTAAGAATATCCATTATTCTTTTTCTTATTTGATGTTATTCATATAACACTCTTTATTTTATTCATAATATTGGAATTATCATTTATTTTTATTCTAAATCATATTTTGAAATTTCTTGGTATTGAAGTTAATTATTTTTTATTCAATCAGATAATAACAGAAATCAAGTAAAAATACATTATAGAGTTAATATATTTATATTAGAAATAAATAATTATATTCTGTTGTTAACACAGACTCTACATTAGTAATATTAAATTATTCATGTCTTTTTCATTATTGGTTTTATTATTATATAAAATATATTTTCATAATAAGTCTATGTTTAAAGAAAATAATTACTCAAAACAAATTGAATAACAACTAGAAATACAAAAAAATCCAGTAGGTTTATTAAATTAAAATAAAGTCTAATGAATTAAATGAGAATTAATCTATATGAACTAAACCTATATATATTGTTATATATTATAAACTTATAACTATGAATTATGAAATTCAATGAATTTAATTTATAACAAACAGAATAAAGAATTAAGTTATTAAGTCAACAATAAGAAGGGTTATCAAAAGAAAAAGGATAAAAGAAATCAAACTTTTCAAATTGTCTAATATTAATTTTTTACAAAATTAATATAATTAAATATATTACTGTATAACTTGTATTTTATATTATCTTTTGATTCAAATTCTAATACAATTTTTTTAATGTCTTAATAAAATTCTTAGTATTAAAAAATATCAAAAATAATAATATATGATTTTTTAAAAATAACTAACTCCTTCATACTTAAAACTTAACGACAAACACAAATAAAAGAATATAACTATTGACTTTATTAAAAGAAATAACACCATAAATTATTTTTGTTACATAACTATTATTCATTTTTATTAAATTTAATACCATAACTCTAAAATAGTATGTATATTTTTAAATTAAAGTTTTTGAAAAAAGATATGATAGTTAAAATATTCAAAAAAAATTAGATTTGAAGTAAAATTTCAACAAATCAAAAAATAAATATTTTCTGCATATAAAACAAAAATATTGAATTAAAAGAATCAAAAAAAAAATAATTAAAAAAAAAAAGGTTTTGAACTAGAAAAAAAACCCTAAACTACACTTTAATTGTCAATTGGCAATGGTTTTCTCCAGATTTGTTGAAGTTGGTCGTGTTGTTTTAATGAAGACTGGACCTTTTGCCAGTAAACTCGCTGTCATTGTTGAAATTCTTGACCACAATAGAGTTCTTGTTGATGGTCCACAAGCTATTACTGGAGTTCCAAGACAAGTTGTCAATTTGAACACCATTTCTCTTACCTCATTTGTTGTTAACAAAGTTACTAGAGGTATGACCCACAAGAAACTTTGCCTCAGATTCACTCAAGACGCTATCATTAAAAGATTCAATAAAACTGCTACTGGTAAAGCAATTGAAAAGAGAATTCTTAGAGAAAAGATGACTGATTTTGACAAATTCCAAGTCAGCATTATTAACAGAAAGATTAACGCTGCTGCTAAAATTGCTGTCGCTAAGAAAGCTCATTAATTGAATTAAGAAGGGTATATTGGTGTTTTATCAATGGTTTTATTCTTTTGTTACAGTAATTGTTTTAGAGTTATATGATGTGAAGTGATAGAATTAATTTCTTAAGAATTATAGTTTTTTAATTATAAATATAATAAAATAAGTAAACCCTATAACTAAATAAAATAAGAACTTGTTTCTTTAATTGGTGTGAAATGGCTAGAGGAATTGCTGTTGGACTTAAGAGAGGATACCCAGTTCATACTATGAAAACTGCCAAAAGACATTATGGTGTCACAAAAAGAAAGCACGTCGTTAATGATGTTATTAGAGAAGCTTGTGGTTTTTCTGCTTATGAAAGACATATGATGGATCTTCTTAGAAGAGGACTTGATAAGAAAGCACTTAAATATGCTAAAAAACATCTTGGAACACACAAAAGAGGACTTGCCAAGAGAGACGAAATTCAACGAGCTCTCGAAGCTATTAAAGCTGCCCACGCTCATCTTGGACATCATGAACAACACTGAGCAGGTTATTAAGAATTGACTCTATAAAGCTTTTTGGTTTTTATAAGACAGAATTTTTATGAGTAAAATAAAAAATAAAAGAAATAATGACTAACACTTTATAAAAGTATTAAGAAGGGTCAGTTTGAAGAGCTTTATATTCATGAAGTCGTTGTTTCATTTCTAAAGAAATATTGTTGAGAGGTAGAGCTAAAGGAAAACTTGTTTTTGATTCAGACTTTAGAGTTAATAGAAGTAGTGTTGTTTGCTCTGATGAAAAAGGTATTTTAATATTATGAATTGTACAATACATTTGTGAAATAGAATTTGAAGGGGAAATAATTGGTGATGATTCTTTTAATGGAAAATCAACTACATGATTAAGCAGAGTTTTTGAAGGGAAGCAATTGAGAATTGAAATAATAGAGTCAGGATTTAATGGTTGTTGAAATCTATCAATAAAGTGAATAGAAGCTTCAGAAAATTTAGACTTAGTATAATCGTTCAAAACTGATAAATTTTGTGGGAGTTGTACTATTGGCATTGACTGAGGAAAAAGGAGTTTAAATGCTTCTAATGAAGTTAGAGGGTCATTACCGAAATATAACTTTAAAATTTGAGGTTGTTCATGTTCAATGTATTGAGAAGAAAGAGAAATAATTTTAAGGTAAGCACGATGAAATAACGAATTGTCAGAAGTTAAAAGAGTATCTAAAGCAAATATCTCTAATTGAGGCATATTTAAAGGAAAATGTTTTTGAATACATTTCAAACAATCAAATAATAAAGTAAAAGTAATACCGTTTGTAAGTTGATGAGCAAATCGTTCAACTATTTCTTTCATAAGTTCATAACCTTTATTAAGAGAAGGAAATTTATATAATAATCGAAGAATATTTGATATAAGAAATGGATAACTAACGTTTTGTATTTGTCCTATGGGTTTGCATCTTAATAATTTAGATAATAATGGTAATAGTAATTCAATACAATCTAACATATCAATTGTTGTTGTATTTGCAAAATGAGTTAATACTGCAACA